TGTAACATGCTGCTTCTTCTCATAAACACTTTTTCGCTGACGCATTTCGGTGTTCTCGAAATCTTCTCAGTTACGGCAATACTGCTTGCTGCGACGAAGTTAAGAAAGCCAATAAGCTAGGATTGACTAAATAAAATGCTTTCTTAGATGTATCGTCGTTAGATCTTATTGATGGAGGTCTATCTTAGGCATTTGTACCATAAGTCGTTTCGTACGCGGTTTGAGTTACACTGTTACGAGAAAGTAATCTTTGAAAGTAAGAGAAATTTTGGTTTTTTGATATAGGTAAAAAAATCTTTCCTTTTTATATTTTTGCAGAAGTAGAAAATTTTCAGATGTCGACCAAACCGCTTTATGAAATGCTTCAATTTTACATTTCGCCTTTTTTCTCTCAAAACTGATCATGACGGCCGCCTGACGGCCGCTTTCAGTTTCTCTCAACTAGAAGTACCATATTCAGGTAATCATTGGTTAATATACGGCCTCCTAATTGAAAAATTATTTTCATAAAAAGGAAGAGGTAACAAAAAATTTTTGTTTTTTATGAGAAGAAAGGAGGTTATGGTGAATCGTAAAGGATTTCAAAAAGTAAAGATTTGCGCTTTGTTGATCTTTTTTTTTTTATAATCTAAGCAAAACACGACTAAGAAGTTTTCCATTTTAAGGCGGTTTATGCGGAAAACAACTATTTTCGGCGTAACCTGTGGGCTAACTGAACATTTTTACAGGCTTAAGACAGCATGGAATACCGTCTTCTGTTTACAACTAAACTCTTAAACTGAACCTAGTCGTACCAGATTAATCTGTTTAATAAAGTTAACTAACCTACCCAGTCTTCGTCATCTAAATAAGTATACATCAGCGCACATAACGAGAGAAATGATAATTTTTGTAGCAGTTTTTTAACAATTCTAGAAGGTTGCTGTCATTTTATAGATCCCGGTAAGACAGTAAATGCATGCGATTTATGGTGCGTCACAACATCAGTATGACAAAGTATCAGCTTTTATTAGCACTATCTTTAAAAGATTTCCTTCCGCTTACTAATTAAGTTCTTTGTAAGCTTTGTAACAGCTTTAGAAAAACTACCAAAGAACTGATTTACTTATTTTGACACTGTTTTACTTAAATAAGACTGTGCCATTAAGAAGTCGTTTGCAGTCGAAAAATGTCTGTTTTTTTCTGTCAGTATAGACAGCAATTGGTAATCATTCTGTAAGCACTAATTATTTATGTCCTCAGATAACGTTGGGAATTTTAGCGAGCTGTTTCAAAAAACTTTTTTGAAGAAATAATGATTTACTGCTACAATTAGTCGATTTAGCAACACGGTATAGATTAATATAGCAGAGTTTTCAAAAACGAAATAGATAAACTTTGGGGAATTTTGCAGTCAAAGGGATTTGATGAACAGTTATGAATCAGTCTGTGAAATATGTTTAGTTAGTTGGTTTCTACCATACTATGCATTACGCAAACCAAGAAAAAACTAGTTTTAGAAGAAGTTTTGACTAAAACGTACCGTCTGAAAAGTGGCTATGGACTGCTGATCCGCCACCAATAGTACTGATGGTGGTAGTAGTAAGAGGAGGAGCAGTAGTAAAACTTGCGAGTGCAAAACAATAATTTGTTCCAATTACACAGCATTGATATCTGTCGCAGGTATATGCCGCCTGTTCAAAAACAATGATTCAGGTGGGTTGTTGTTCAAACACTCGAATCTTAAAGTAAATAAATGGTGACCTCTTTGTATCAATTTGTTGTAGCTACATTACACCAAAGGATTCTGAAAACGTTGACCATCCTGATTACAAGTCATTCTGCTGTATTTTAGTTTTTTCAGCACACTTTTGTCACTTTGCGCCTGTTTTGTACGGTAAGTAGTACTTTTTATGACTTATTATTTAGTAAACAAATATGCAATTTTGCTGTTTTTATTTTTAGGAAGTTAGTGCTCTCCAAATGTAGGCAGCATAACTGAAAAAACCTGGTCAAGTTAAGGTTGATGTGCTAAAACTAAAACATAGCTTTTTTTCAGATTCTAAATTTTATATTTTGTAACTAAACCAATTTTTGTATATTTACCTCTATAAAACTTCAAGCTCAGTTAAATGAGAAGTTTTTGCTAAACTTTACTGGTTGTGGGAGATTCAGTGACTAAATTTAATTGGTGAAAAAAGCTAAATATTTTGAATGATTCTAACATGTGTCACTGTCACTGGTAACTCTTTAGAAAAAATTCTTGTGTATGTTAAGCCTAGTCTGAGCAAACTGTTAAAAAAATTTTTCAAAGTAATGGTTCGAATCATCAACAGGTTTTCTTGTGTTTAGCGGGTCGACAAAATTATCTGATGCCTTGTTTTTGCATTTATGTATAAAAATTTACAGAGCTATATTGCGGGACTTATAAAAAAGTCAAATTTTTCTCGTATCAAACCATCTCTTCAAAGGATCGAAACAATTGGTGTTAAAGACTGAACTTTGCAGAAGTTCTCAATTTTTAAATAACCATTTCTGCTAAAGTTCTGCATCTGAAATCTCAGTTTTTCACTGCTTTTTCTTCCTTGGGTAGTACTTCAAAGTTGCCGACAATTGCAGTCTTTCAGGAACCAGAATTGCCATTACTACCTGCTGGAACTGTTGAAAAATAACTAAAACGACTCAGAACCAAAAATAACACCAGTTAACGTGCAGAAGTCTTTTTTGAGATTATTTAACGAAACGCACTTGGCGTCAGTGGGGTCAAAAACGTCGAAATACTTACAAGAAATTCAGCTATAATTTTTTTTATTTTACTTTTTACCTCATGAACTGCATTTCTTTGGACAGGCCGGTTTATATCCAAAAAATTTTTGTTTGTTTCTTTTAATCATATTAGTAGTATTTAAAATTCTCTGCTACAGAATTAAATCTTTTTCTGCTCATTACTGGTACCTTGGTTTGGTATTGTCCATACATATACTGCCTTTTAGATCTGGTCTGACTGAATTTAAAAAATAGCCGTTGTTGTCGAGCGAACCATTCACTGTTCAAACGACCTAAAATACAAATTTCAGTGTACGACAATCTGTAAAGAGCTGTTTAATCTACAATTTATCATCTTTGCAGGTCTCTTTAGGCCAACATAGTGCAAAAAGTAGTCATCTCTTTGGACATTTATAAACGTTTGTAAGAGAGGATAGTATCAATTGATGATTCTTCACCTCAAACTTGACTTAAACTTTTTTATTCGTGTGTTTTTAAAATTTGGAAGATAGAGTTGTTTTATTGGTTACTATACGACGAGCAACGCAGAACACTTGTGATATTACTGGAAAAAAGAATGGCAGAAATCAAGCTGATGTTTGAGAGCTTAAACTGCATCTGTTATTATTTTTTAACAGATAAAGTTGCTAAAATAATAAATTCATAGAATGATTTCTTAATGCTTGTTTTTAGCACTTAAAAATTTGACCAATGAAGGATGACGATTTATGAGAATCCGTTAGTTGTTTTAGCTTACTAAACTGACCAATTTTGTCATAAACTAAAAATAAACTATCACTGACGATAATTTAAAAATGTGCTGTATATCAAGAAACCAATACCACATAGTCCTCCTTTACTGCTGAACGTTGAATATATTACCAACAACAAAACGGACAACCGCATTCCGGTTCAGTTTTTCAACTAATGTCTGAAGCATGACGTTCTGCATCTCAAATATCAGAACATTCTGCAGCGACTGCAGAAAAGTCTGTTTATGAGCTACTGTTATAGAAGGCTCAGGTAATGTTCTGTTCACTATTCGTAAAAAGCGAGTTTAAGTTCTGATGTCGTAACAGCTTCTAGTTGGCTGAAGTACAAAAAGAGCTCTGTTCATTTGTTTTTTTTTCTTTTTTTTCTTTCAACCGGCAATACTTTGTTACTGAGAACACTATCAGTATCAAGATCAAAGCTGAGATGTTGAATAAAATATCTTTCGCTGTTTGATGACTGTAGTTTTACATCATAGAACTGAATCGCTGCATTAACAAAATTTTTGATGTTCAAGTAAATTGAAAAAATCTTCTTTTAGATTTTAAGAACACTTTTGAACAAAGATTAAGGTTAATTGTTTTAAGCATTTTTAGAAGAAAATGAAGTATGTGAAAAATATTTAATGCATAAGTCTGCACGTGAGAATTACAATCAATTTGATTGTTTAGAAGAAAATTAGACAATTCTCGTTTCTAAACAAAAGATTTTTTTTAAAACAGAGCAGAATATTTTCTGAATTTCCGCTTATTTATACTCATTTCTAATATCAGGTTTGTCATACTTCTTTGACTCATTTTTTCTTCGTTATTCTTACACTGTTCTTCTTTCTGAAACTCGCTCTTCAGATTTTTTTTGATACAAGAAAGTAGGTTGTTTACCAAAACAAATACTCTGATGCAACTTTCGTAACTGTGTAGAAGTATGGAGATATTTCTCAATATTTATACTTTTTTGTCATCGTTTTGAAGTCTTTTCTCAGCGCACAACTGTACAGTAATTTGCAAATCTGTAATTGCTCTTTAGCATAGCCAAAAAACTGCCAAAGTACTGTTTCGGCAGGAAACAATTTTTAATTGTTGCGATGCATAACACAAACCACAAACTGCTCTATTCAATAAAAATTCAAGGAACAGACACAAACCAAGATAAAAAATTTTTTATTTCCCTCACAATAACCACAACTGGACATGAAACTTGGTCGTATAATGGATGACTACAGGGGAAAGAAACACATAGAAAACTGATCAGGAAGCACAACACGATTATAATCAGTTTCCAAACTTAAGACAGTTAAGACAATTAAAACCGAGTAGGTGTAAAAACGAACATGATAATGAATTATGTTGAGAGTTAATTTACTACATCGAAATTTTGTTAACAAAACCAAACTGCTGTATAGAAATTTCTTTTAACTGAGGCTTGTAAGCTTAAATGATGTATTTTTAATGTCTTTCTTTTGCGTGCTCACTAATGTAACTTAGTTAGGCAACTTTGATCAAATATCTTCATTTCTAGAGTTTGTTGTTTTTATCAACAAATTTTCCGCAGAATGTAAATCAGACATGGAGTTTTTATCAGAATAAAAGCTTTGGACAACTGTTTTCTGTTTCAAGATCATTATTCTTCCAAACCGTGAATTTTTCATCTTCTTTTCTTGTCTTTGACATGATTTTAACCTTCTTCTGTTTCTGTGTCTTTAACACTGCCACTGAGTGCGTTGACTGCTTCGTCGGTGATATTAATAGCTTCAGTTATTGGTGATACACTCTTTGGTTTCCGAAGACTAAAAACCCACCGTTTCATATCAGTAATTCTTCTTTTCTCGTGCGCATTACGAAAAACACTAGGTTTGTCAGACGCTGCAGCCGTATGTTCTTTTTGATCCATCTCTTCAACGCCTTCACATGCACTGACTTCCGTATAAAATGGCACGTCTGTTGAGCAGTCAAACACAAAAGGGAAGGATTTTTGATATCTGAGCTTTGCAAGTCTTCGTCTTCTTTTAGCAATAAATAATTTATCAATTGGGGGTGGTACTGGTTTTCTTGCATCAGTAAGAGATTCAACACCTTTTGTTGATTTATCTTTATCAGTAGAGGTAGATAAAAGATCTGCTTCGCGTGTTTTTTGCTTCTGCACTGTCTGAAGAAACCCTTTTATTTGAGAAGGTATAGTTTTTTCAATGTGTTTTTCACTTTTTTCCTCTCTTTCTTTAACTCCGCTCCCGGTGTGCGGCAGCGATAGCTTAAATTTACTCATTGATCCAGTATAGTTTTCAAAATGTGAATTTTTCTGAAGTTTTTTTTTTTCTCCCACATGGAGTATTCTTCTAACTGGTGGTACTGATATGTTGCCCTTCTTTTCGTTTTCTTTCTGCTGCTCCTCAACAATCTCAGCATGCGGCGACATCAGACTGCGTGCCATGTTGCAGTAACTTGCTGGACGACTCATTTTCTCAAGTCTTCGCTTTTCTTTAGCTAAGAATAAAGCACTAATTGAAGGAACTGTTGGGGCCACTTTTCCCGTTGTCCGCATATCTTCAAAAAACTCATCTACTTCTACATACGGCATTGACCGTTCTATCGTTTTCATGCCACTGTAGTAACTTACTGAATGCTGTATCTTACTTCTCCTCTCTTTTTCAGCCCGGAGCAGTTCGGCGACCGGAGGAGGCACCGGCGCTCGTTTCGCTCCTTTTTCTAATTCTGTTTTTTCCACAAGATTATTTATTTCGGCATATTGAACTGGGTGTGGCACTATTCCCACTTCACCAGAATAGCTTAAATGCCTCATCCTTTTTTTGAACATTCGTATTTTTTTGCTTTTGAGCATTTGACGGATTCGAGGTACTAGAAATGCCCTTAAATTTCTTTTTTCAGCTCGATCTGCCCCACCTGCTTCTTCTGATTCTTTTTCAATTTCGCCTACTTCTTTATCAATAATTTCAGCGTAATCCACATACAACTGCGGTTTATTTTTTGAAACAGGATAAGTACCGCTCTTAAGTACTTTCTTCCTCCTTTTCTTCAATGCTGTACTAGTTGTCAGGCACGGCACAGTGTGCATAGAAGGCTTTTCACTTTTTACAGTGGAAGTCTGCTCACTACAACTGTATTGCCAAAAGGACATTGGTGGAATAGATGGTGCTGGAGGTGGAAATGGTTGAAAACTTTGTAGAGCTAATGCGCTTCTTGGATCGTACTTTCTTCCAATTTTATAGCATAGCATATGAAGAAGCCAAGTTGAAAACACCAACGTTATAACAAATATGCAAGCGAAAATTCGACCTAAATTAAATGTTAAAAGAAGTTTTTTCGTCTTCGTTTTTTATAA